GGAGAGCACTGATATATGCGCAAATTTAAATCTATGTGCGCTGCGCCTACTGCGCCGATCCAATTTACATCACTGGTCGTAACATCTCAATAATTCCGAATATTCGTCGGATTATCCGGATATCTGATCTGTTTATCCGATCTGAGTTATAATTCAGATGGAACTCTAATCATAACGATAACCATTCGTATTATAGATACTATCGCTATTGTATCTGGCTCCTGTACTTCGTTACCGGTTTTGCTTCAGGTGTCCCAAAACGAACTTACCATTATTAGAGTTATACAACAGAATACAGGAATATGATTCTAGTTTAAGACAAGCCAAAAATTTCATGTTTTCGATTCTAAAGTAAACATGTTTTCTGTTCCAAAGTGGTTTGAGCATGTCCGCATGTCCTTACACTGAAACTTTTTAAACATGATTTTGAGAGTTTTACACAATTCTTATTTTCTCAACTGAAATCTAATTATTTTATCATATGTGCGAAATCAATAGAATATTTAGCAGAAACCGTATCGATATTGATATCGATATATTCTAAATTTGGTTCGACAGTAAGAATCGTCATAGTGGTAGATGTGGTACAAATATAAATTGCACATGATTTTAACTTGTAGTAAGTAAATCCCTGTCTTAACATTCAAGGTGAGAAGAATATTATCTAATTTAGAATAAAATATTACACCCAAAAAATATAATATATGTATTTAAAATCATAAGATTTTTAAGATTCCGTAATTTTTCCCTTGTACAATACAATATTTAAGGACTATAAATTTAATTCCATCAACCGAATTTTTAATTCTATATAACGATCTTATTTAAGCGAATTGTTCTTTTTTTATTTTGTTAACATAATTTTGTAGCTGAGAAATGGATTATGATGTAAATGACAGTAATAATTGGAATAACGATGGCACTTGGAATATTGCTAATGATAATGCCATCGAAGGTTTTTATACTTGGCCTGACAATTGTAAAACGACCGAGTCTTCTTCTTGGGACACTTCCGATGATAAAACTGTCGTAGCATCACCAATCTACAACTGGTCTAATAATAATGATTTTAATGATTTTTTTGAAAATTCTCTTGAAAGATTCAAAAATGATTTATTCCGAGTCTTTACTGATTTTTATTATGAATGGCAAGGTCTTTCTAATGAAAGAACCTCAACATCATGGAATGAACAAAAACAAATTGTTAATGGTAATCTTAAAAATAATTATATTTATACTTGATTTATTGTCCATTAACTGATTCCTATGATTTTTTTCCAGTTAACGAAATTGATGGAGAACTTGTT